TCTGATTCGATTTCACATGTACTTGTTTTGATTTTCTTTCAATAAATATTGTAAGCATATTTATGTTATAAGTTGACCCGTTTCATCTGCCCTATTATCCAGTGATGGTGCATGAATAAAAGACATCAATTCTTAGGATGCTACACCATTTGTAGAATGCTACACACAGACTTTGCCTTTATGTTTTTAGGTCATTATCAACAATAGACAGTGCATTTTTCGTGCCATAAGTCCAATATCTGATCTACCAATATCTCAATTTAAATATACCGATGGATTTATTTTTGAGCAAGATACTGTGTAATAACATTCTAAATGAAGAAGATGGCTGCGTGCATCAATCCATCCTGAAGCTGGGGGCGCTCCGTCATTTTTTGTTTTTTGGTTCAAAACATCAAAACTACATAACTTGCATGTCCCTATAATTGCTTCCATGTGGGTTCTGTTCTCATTAGAGTCTGTGTTGTTGAAGTGTATATGTGGATTGCCTAGCCCTTTCTATTAGTTCGGACTTTTGGTTGCGTTGGCTAGTGCATGAAGCTTAACATGTGTTTCACTTATATTATAGCTTGAATATTATAGACATTATCTAGATGGCGAGTTGATTAATGTGATACTTTGCTTGAAGTTGTTGTGCTTTACTGTTTGAAACCCCATTTTCGGATTTGTTTTCTTATGGGATGATGAAGAGTATGTATTGCTACAGTCTTCTGTAGAATGTTTCAAACAAAATTGGCTTCTTAATAATGACGAACTTCCGATCGTCCGATCTTATTCTAAAGGCTGATGTCAGATGTCCAGTGAGAATTGACATGTCTTACTAATGACGTTGATTTGATCCAGGTAATTACTCAGATCTGGGTATTATTGTTAGCAGGTCTTGGGTTGGGTGCTTTGTTAGACGTATGGGTAAGTCACAAGTCACAACAAGACTTACTTTAGTATACTAAGAGGTAGAAGATACGTTCTTTCTTTGCTTATTCTCTAGTTTCATTTCAGGCAGGGCATGATTTTCCTATTATTTTCTACCTTGCTCTGGGTGGTTCCTTGCTTTCTTACATATATTCAGCACCGCCCCTCAAGGTACTTGAGTACTTGTGTTCTATGCACTCTGCATCTTGTTTTTAGCATAGTACACTGTGTGTTGTGAACTCTTTGATGAAAAATGTCTGTCTTATTATTCCTCATTTCAGCTCAAGCAGAATGGATGGATAGGAAACTTTGCTCTTGGTGCGAGTTACATTGGCTTGCCCTGGTAGGATCAAAGCTGTGAATCTTTTTTTTCATGTTGAATAAGAGGATAATGTTCTGTTGGATGTCACCTATACTATATGCAAGAAGATGCATCTTTTTTTCCCGCTCATTTGTCATTTTCAATGTAACGGACAAATTAGTTTGGATTTTATCAGACTACAATACCAAGTAGAAGGGATTGTATTTTCGTTAGTGGTAACATATTGCATTCAGTCCCATCACAACTGTCACTTTCCTCTTCTCAAGAAAAAATAACTCACTTTCCAAGCATCAGAACCCTAGCCCATGACTGAGGAATTGCAAGTCCGTAACCAGTTCGCACTTGGTAGTTTGGTGATTGATTGCGGAAGTTATTTAATCACATTTATCAATACCACGCTGTTTGGGCAGGAGCCAATTTACTTGGCTCCAACACAGACGCCACTTCCACTTCCCATCAGAAGTTCAGGTGTGGCCTGAAGCTCAGTGCCGAGCTGTCGGGTGGGAATTAGTGAATTCTGTTGGGACTTAATTAGTTTGTGTTAAAATGTATAAAATACCTTGAGGAATAATAGGGAAGGTAATTCCATATTAGGATTCAAGGACCAGAGTTACTCTACTAAGGTACCGTAAAATCCTTATATCTTCTGTGCAGGTGGGCTGGCCAGGCGTTATTTGGAACTCTTACTCCTGACATTGTTGTCCTAACTACTTTGTACTCCATAGCTGGGGTATTTATATTTCATGATCTGTTTGCTTGTTTGCAATCCTGTATACCATCATGATCACTGACTGTTTTTCCTGGCTTTGCAGCTGGGGATCGCTATCGTAAATGATTTTAAGAGTATTGAGGGGGATAGAACTCTGGGACTTCAGGTTATTATTCTTTTTGTCTGTATTGTAGGTTTATTGTCAAAGCATATCTGTTTATCATTTTACCGTTTTTGTAGTCACTCCCTGTTGCCTTCGGTATGGAAACTGCAAAATGGATATGTGTTGGAGCAATCGACATCACTCAATTATCTGTTGCAGGTAAAGATACAAAAATTTCATTTCTTTCTTCCTTCAAGGCTTACTACTAAGCCATTTGCTTAACATATAATTGAGTGACCACGTAGAACGCATGGTTTGCAACCCAAACTTGACAAAAAAAACATACTCCCTCCGTTCCTAAATATAAGTCTTTTTAGAGATTTCAACAAGGGCTACATACGTAGCAAAATGAGTGAATCTACACTCTAAAATATGTCTATATACATCTGTATGTTGTAGTTCATTTGAAACCACTAAAAAGACTTATATTTAGGAACGGAGGGAGTATAATAGAGTAGTTCATGGATTTATGCGAGTACCTACCATACCATAATGTCATGGGCCAGCTGTGAAAATAGATCATACTTTTTGTCGAAAAGCGAATAGATCATACTACAACTTTTCAACCTAATGATGGAAGCTTTCATGGATCCTTGGAAGGCAGTTGGTGTTAGTTATAACGACAGAAGATGTGTTTGGTGAAGAAAAGAAATGTTCAGCATTACCAGAAAGTTTTAGATGCCGGCAAACTACACCCAAAGCTTACGTTCTGCAAAAACAGAAAATAGTCCATACTGATATGTACGACAATCTGCCGGTATAAATTAGGGACACAGGAAACTTATGTTCATTCGCTATCTATTATCTATCTATCTATCTATCCTGAATTTATGTTGGGAACTTGCCCTAATCTTGTAACTCTATTTTCAGCGTACCTCCTGAGCACGGGTAAGCTGTATTATGCCCTGGCACTAGTTGGACTGACAATTCCCCAGGTGATCTTACAGGTGAGCTGACCAATCTTTTTGGACCTTGGATATAATTATTTCTCGTTTTGTATTTAAAATGTTCCCACTCCCCCAGAATTTCCTATTCACGATCAAATGAAATAAGTGAAAATCATTTAGATGACTTATATTATACACAATTGCTCTATCTGCAAGGCTTGTCAGACTGTCCTTTAGCTCCTATATTACTCCCTCCGTTCACAAATATAAGATGTTCTAACTTTTTTCTGAATCAGATGTATGTAGACATGTTAGTGTGTTTGTTCACTCATTTCAGACCGTATGTAGTCCATATCGAAATATCCAAAACATGTTATATTCGTGAACGGAGAGAGTAATAAACATGAAAAGAAAACACTGACTGTTGCCACGTACGTTTTGTACATTCTAATCCTTGATTTCATGGAGCAGTTCCAGTACTTCCTGAAGGACCCCGTGAAGTACGACGTCAAATACCAGGTGCGGTCGCTGTCTCTCCCATGCATTTCTCTTTCTTTCTCTCCAATCAGCATCCACGGCCTCTCCCAAAACTGCGAGCATCCGGTATCTGATCGGCAAAAGCGGCCGCCATCTTATCGTGCCCAATGCAGGCGAGTGCGCAACCGTTCTTCGTCTTCGGCCTGCTGGTTACTGCCCTGGCGACCAGCCACTGACGGACGGACGGACCTCAAATCAAGCTGGATGCTTTGGATGAGGGGGCATTTTGTACAACACAGATAGTGGAATAAATCTGCAGCAACGACATCAAGAAGGCCTCCCTGAATGCTGAAGATGGAAACGTTAGGCGGTGGCTCTTCCTTCTGCCGCCGTGCCTGTAGTGCGCGTAGACCGTAGGTGCACAGTGTCAGGTGTTTGTGATGCTATCAGTTGGCTGTACAACGTAATTTTGGATGGTACGATACGTTATTATGGTTAATGATCAGATTGTTTCTCCTATTACGGTTTATGATTCAGATTGTTTCTCCTGGAAAGTGCATTTCGATAAAGCCTCTCCTTCCGTTCCAGAGGAGCATCATTCATGAGAAAATTGAAAAAAAATGGCTGCATAATATACGGCCGTCTTGTGCTGGAAAACAGGGCTGCATATCTTGTAATTGCAGCAATATGCCCGTTATGAATGTCTACGCCTAGGCGTTCAAGTGCCGTCCTCATCCGCTGCAACTGCTAGAACCTCCTGCATGCCCACACCCCATCTTCAGTATGCATTTCCTTCAAGCTGAAGGCCTGCTGATAAAACTTTAGCTGAAGGCCTGCTGATAAAACTTTTAAGGAATATACCAGTATATGAAGCTTGTGGCATCTCAAACCGACTCTCTTGCGGCCAGAGCTCGTGCGTTTCATCTGTTTTGGTATTTCATTTTTCTTGTTCATCAGATGTACAGTTAGCCCTGTAGAAGGAACTGGTGGCATTGGCTAGTAATGCGGCACGTCGAGTTCTCGTTTAAATGAGCGGGTTGGAAGTTACAATCAACAAATGGGAACACTTTGTATCCCGCATAAATAATAATAATAATAAAATAATAGAAGGAAAAGAAGTTTTTCTGGAGGAGCCTAGCATTTAGTGGGCTGGATATTTACCTTATCAACTAGCAAATCCACAAGGGTTCTTAGCAAAGAAGAAATAGCGAACTACCAAGCTTCAGATTTCAGCAACGACGACTTACATTACTGGAAATACAAGGATACAGCGGAAGCTGGTTTGGGAAGAGAGGCCGGACAAGCCACCGGAGCCACAACCACACTCCCGACCGACACGGACACATGACTACTGACCATCAGTACCTACGGACTAGCAGCGACTACCAAGCACACATGACCATACTAGTACGTATGGTCTCCTACATGCGTGCACACGTCAGGATTCCTGACCTACATTATTCATCCGGCAAGGTAAACCAACTAACTAAGCAGTCGTCTTGCTTGCTAAGCTACGCGCTGAGTGAACATCTAGGACTTGGTCTTGAACTTGGACTCGTCGATGTCGATGCCCTCCCTGGCCGCGCGCTCGCCGCCGGACTCGTCGTTGGTGCTCAGCCCGCCCTTGCGCCCCATCTCGCTGTATCCTTCCTCCCCCATCTGCTCCTTGCGCGTCTGCCCGCCGCGGCTGCGCCCTGCCAACACCGTAGACATGACATGAGCAGCTGAAGCCGCCATCACGATCACCAACATATAAGGTCGACGTGCGTTGTTATGTTACGTACCTTCGGCGAGGTTCTCCTGCGCCTGCAGGTTGGTGCCGCCGGTGCCGCCGGGGACGACGGTCTCGCCCTCGCGGGCCTTGCGGTCCAGCTGCGACCTCTCCTGCTGACCGGAGGCCATCGTTCGCTTTCTTTCTGCCTCGCTACTTCAACCTCAACTGGAAGGGAACGTGTGTGCTCTACTGCTCCAGCTTGTGCGGTGCTTGTGGTTGCTTGTTTGATGGTGGTGATGGAGGAGGTAGCGACGTCGCCATTTTATAGCCTGCGAGGAGGCGCGTCGCGGGTGCAGGAGACGGCGCGTGTGCGACGACGCGGACGCAAGCCTCTCCTCTCACTGTCCCTGACGCATTGACACGCGTTGGGCAAGGCACCGGACGGGTGACACGTCCGAGCGTGCTTATCCGAGGCAGCCACCGGAATGAGCTAGAGGGCAAAAAACATAAATTTAACCTCACCACGAAACTATTTTACAAACTACTAGCAAAAGGGCCCGTGCGTTGCAACGGGAGAAAAAAATTCATAATTTCAAATGGTCATGATCACATTTCGTTGCATCACCGAGATACAATATCTCTCTCAATTTCTCGAAATCATGAACATTTTGAAATTATGAACAATTTGTTAAACTCATGCACATATTTGAAATCGCAAACAACATACTATTACAAATTTCTGAACATTTTCTACAATCAAGAACATTTTTTCAATTTATGAATATTTTTTGCTATTTACAAACATTTTTTAGAAATTGTGAACATTTTTAAGCAATTTTCCTGAACTGGCAAACATTCTATAATCGATGAAAATATTTAGAAATTGGGTGGAATAGTTATTGAATTTGACGAACTTTTTTTGATTTAGCGAACATTTTTGGAAATGCCCGTGCCTTGCAACGGAAAAAAACTATCAAGTTATACATGTGTGGTAGATATAAAAAAGTATGAATCAAATTCACAAAGTATATACAAATCATGTCATGATGCGATAAGACACTTTTAAAATGTAATTTCAAAAACGAACAATATGATGCTCATCAAGACTTGATTTTTTAAGGCGTCACAACAAAATATATTGTGGCTGAGCAAACTGCATTGACGGACCCTGCCTGAGCTATACTGATAAATAAAGTGTCTCGTCTGGACTTAGCGTAGCGGTGTTTACCATAACCACTATTGTGATATGAAAATAAGCATAACTGTGTATGGAAGCAAAATAGACATTTAGTCATTTTAATATAGCTTACAAAAACAAACCCTTAGAAAGTTATGTCAATTTTGTTGGGTTCAGCGTTGTACAAAACACGGAAACCCTTTTTTACCCAACGCGAAGGACTAAATAAAATCATAAAACGAGCTATATAGATCTCCTAATAAAACCTTTATGGAACCTACAATTAGTTTTGTTCATTATTTACGGATGTGTTTTAATTTTTGTGAACATTTTCTAAAAGCTGATGGACATGATTTTTAAATTCCTGAATATGCTTTGAATATTGGCTCATTTAAAAAAATCATGAACATTTTTTATTTCATGAAATCATTAGAAATCGTGATTTGTTTATAATTTGTGAGCAATTTTTTAAGTCATGAACATTTTTTGATTTTTAGAATATTTTTTAAATTCACAAACAGTTTACCATTTTCCTACTTTTTTTCAGAACTCACAATTGTTTGATATTTTGGAAATCCGAAATTAATTTTGAGATAAAAACCAAAACAGAAATAAAAAAGTAAAAAGAAATAAAAAATAGGGGGCGCCATCAATCCGAGATTTATTTTTAGGGAAAAAACAAAATAGAAATAAAAAAAAGATATAGAAAACAGGGGGCGCCACGACCCGCACATGGGCTGGCCCATTACTGCGCTTGGTAAAAAGAAAGAGAAAAAGCGTGAGAACCAGGGATCGAACCCGGTCTCCTGTGTGGAGCATCGTTGCCTCAGCCATCGCACTGCTCATGCATTGGTGCTATTATATCGTATCCATCTTTAATAACAGAACCCTGGAGCGATATTAGAAATTAAAAACGAATCGTTTTTGCCACTTACGGGTGGCATTGCTGGGTAATTATTGCCAACTTCAAGGGCACTTTTAATGACGGACGACCAGAAGCGATGCGTGCTTTATTAGTAGGGAAAGAAATTATGTTTGAAAGTATTTCACCCAACTGACCTCTAATGTGCAGCGCCCAACTGCAAGGCGCTACACTCTTACTGTGCAGCGCCTAACACACAGGCGCCACACTGTGCAGCGCCTAACTGTAAGGAGCTGCACTACACTGTGCAGCGCCTAACTATAAGGAGTTGCACAGTAGAATGCAGCGCCTTATTGTTGGGAGCTGCATAAAAGGGTCAGCGGTGTGAAATATTTTCAAAAATAGTTTAGTTTATGAAATACTTTTGCTTTGAGGTCAAATTTGTCAATTCTGCCGAGCTAGAGAGCTGTAGGAGCCTACGTACAACACCTGCGTTGTCTTGGCACTGTCGTCCTGTCGGCGCGTAGATCGTAGTACTACCGTACTTGTCACTCCCGTACGTGCGTTCGTCGTCGTCCGGTCGTAGGAACCAGGCATGGATCGAGCGTTCTATTGCTATTTTTTTTCAAACAAAAAGGAGGTTAAACTCTTGACCTCTGCATCGTGGTAATGCACATAGTTATTCTTATTAGTTATTCAGCAGAGTTAGAGAAAGATAAATACTGCTTAGTCATTGTAAAATGTATGAAATAAACATCTAGACTAATCCGACTTCTTTCAAGGAATAAGCGCTCTCACGTCGCCGTGGTCATGTCCGGTCGAGGACAACCAAGACAAGGATTTTCATTTCGATTGTCAAAACTAACCACCGAAGGCCAGCGCAACGGCAAGGAGACAACACCTTCGACACGGTAATGACGCAAGTTCATCGCTGCTGAGCCTAACCAATGAATAAGGGCTAGAATAGAAGTTTTCTCAAGGACATGAAGTGGTGTTCAATCATCATTTTGACGACGAACCATCTGGTAGCCACGCCAGCAAGTCTGTACTCCACGCCATTGTTTGTCTTCATCTTTGGCCTGCTAATTATTTCCTTGGCACCGGATGGTTGATGCACCATCTGGTCCCCCAAAGGTACGCGTGTTTGATTGGCGGCTTGTGACAAATTCTCTTGCAAGACACTAGTAGAAAAACACCTAATAGTTTCGGTTCGTAAGGGCCTTTAGTCCCGGTTCATGAACCGGGACTAATGGGTCGTTACTAATACTTCCACCCATTAGTCCCGGTTCAAATACGAACCGGGACCAATGTGCCTCCACGTGGCTCTGTGCGCCGAGCCCAGTCAGGGGGCCTTTGGTCCCGATTGATGGTACCAACCGGGACCAAAAGACATCCACGCGTCAGCCTTCCAGTGGCTGGGGTTTTTGTT